TCACCAAGGGTTTTACACAGTCCACTTCCACTGATATTGTCAAACTTTTGCGCAAAGTGGAAGAGAAGGCTCCCTCGATGATCGTACCCCCCCTTGTCGAGGATGGCAATGTTTGGGGATTGAAGAGATGCGGATTACCATTTAAGGAGTCATTTTATCAGAACCGCCAATTCCTCTTTATTCCATATATTTACAGCACTCTTACAACAGACATAGCAGCGCCTACAACATTTTCAATATTGAAAGATATGGTTCGAACTTTCCTAGGTACAGAAATAATTCCCGACACACTTTTCTCGTCCGAGAATCCTGCTCCAGATCTGAGCCCAACTTCGCCCATTTCACTCATGGACCATCCATCTCCTCCTCACGGCGACGACGAATCTGATTCCAACTTCATGGAGAGCATGGAGACGGATGAGATAGGTCAATATAACACTGGTCTTGAGCATCAGGACATGGGGAGTCATGATGATCAGCAATATGCAAATGCAGTGTTAGATTCAAGTTCAGTACCAATTGAACGAAGACCGAGTGTCGAAGAGCAGAGGTTGGAAACTTATTCAAGTCCAGAACAAGCCCAGCGCTCAAATCGCCCTGCAGTAGAAAGGCTACTTAAGCCACCAGAATTTGCCGATGGTTTTGATATCACTAATTTTATTGCACCATTGTACCGGGAGGCAATAGTCCGTCATTCGTTGGGCTTTATGGACATGAAGAGAAAATGGGAGGCATCAGAGAATACACAACTGGTGGTTTTCTATCAATTTCAGTTCCGGAAATATTACAAGGTGCGCTACAGCGATAACGAAGCAAAAGATGAGCTTAGAGACTGGATTGCTCGCAATTCATCTCGGGACCAATACCTTCTTCCAGTGGATGGAAGAAATCATCTCAATGTGGAACAAGTCCTAGATACGTTAGGCAGGTACAAACTAATACTAGTCGGTGAGTTGGCACACCAGGCGGATATGATGCCTAGCTCGAGCATTCTCCAGTACATCTCTCAACTTGACCAAAGCCTGGGCAAGAGAAAGGACAACTGGCCCGAGGAAGACAACACCAGAAAAAATGAGAAGGGTAAAAGAAGACAAAAAACGGCAGACAGAGTGTCAATAGACACTTTGGACTCCATAACCTGATTTACTGCTACACTGCATAGCTGATAGCTATTCTTCTATAAGAAATCTATGTGCCGAGTTTGCTATCAAATTCAATACTCAATTTGCTATCAAGATTTACAGTCCTTTTACGTAGGAAGAACTTTTGCTTGTACAATGGATCACCTTAAAGCACTTTTCTTAATTTTGCAAATTCTTCTATAGTCTCTGGCCTTGAGAATCAAGTTTTATACCATGAAGTTTATGCAAAAGGTGCTATCAAAATGAAGATATTTCTGCAAGACCAAAACTAGTGGAGACAAGTCATTGATTTCGAGCAAAAGGCTTGTATTTCACCAGAAAGATCTCGAACTAGGACAACGATAAGCTGAGTGAGTTAGTATGATTATAACCAAGGCCTGCTCTAAAAATCTTGGAAAGGCAGGTTGATTACACAGTATACTATAGTATGCGTTCATTGAACACATATCTCAGAAGGGTGATATTGAACAGGAAAGATACTTTTTATGGCAACAGAACGTTTGTGTTGAAGAAATTCCACCTCTTGAAGTATCTCGCGACACTTGAGCCTACCGAGAATCATCGAGTCTAGGTATACCCAGGTTGTAGATGGAGTCGTAGCAGCAGTTATCAACGATCCAACTCCCTAAGTCTTTGCCATGTCCTCCGCCTAAATTGACTCATGCTGTAATGCAGAAAGGGTTCTGCTTAAATTCGCTACTAAGTCCTTCAATTATTTTGAAGGGCGTATCTAACCCCACCGTCCCGAAATTGTTGCGGCTTTTGGACGGACCACCTGGCATTATGTTGTGGTTTGAAGAGGCTATTCGGAAGCCCTGCTGTATTGCTGGCAGACAGGGTGCAATGATAAGAATATTTGCTTCAATACCACTGTGATCATGACTCAGATCTTATTTGCACCCAAGAGCAGCCTAAGTGACAAAAAAGACTAGGAAGAGTACTTACACAAGCAGCCCAAGTCGTGCTGTATCGTATGTCAAGTCACGTGATGTCAATAATGGTATCGTAATAGCCAGTCGCACAGCGCTTGCAATGAATGTTCTATGAAAGGTCAATATAGTCCGCTAATAAATGGAGAATATATAGACTACTTTGTTACTTACACACAAACCATGATAGAAATGATCATGAATTTGACCTTCTGTGTATGTGTGATCTTCAATCTATAGATTGTAGGCACAGGTAGCAGCAATAACAGGATATCAGAGCATATA